GTGCTTTGCGAGCTATCGATTGATCTGTAATTCAAACCTATGGAAAAGGATCGATAAAGAAAGTGTTCGCAGCGAACACCTTTATAATCGATTCTTTACCATAGCTTCAAATGGAGAAATATCGATAATCGATCATTCACGCCACGCCACTGACTGAATCCAGCGTACACTGTTAGAATTATCGATCACGACGATACAACGGCTCCCACCGATAGGAAGGAGTTGATTTAGCAAGGAAAAATGAGAAAAAAGAGAGCATGATAATTCGGGAAAAATCAGATTTTTTTCTTTTTTCTTTTTTCCGAGGGAATATTCGCTTGCGGGCTGATTACTAAACTTGATAGATGAAACAATAGAAGAAGAGGACGAGTGGAAAAAACAGCGATTTTATTCGTTAAAATTGGTGGTTGTGACGGATTAAATGGAAAGTGATGGACTAACCATGCGGTCTCTGTTATAGATTACCATACCTCCGTTGTTCATTGTAACCACCTAGTATCCACCAGCAAAACCGTTCTATTTTCTCATTGTCGTCTTTGTCCATAGCTTTCTCTATCAGTTTACTTCAATTCAAATAATATGCCCGCTGGAGTAATGCCGAGATTCGGTTGCCTAAATGCAGCATGACCACTGTAAAGGAAGTGGATACACTGGACAGCATTTTTGAGCAAATCTACAACGAACATGTCTGTATCCACTAACGTCACGGATCTTCTTCCAAAAAATCGAAACTTCAATCACCTCTTGTGTTTGAAGGAGAATGTTTCAACTCAAACATAACAGCAGCGTCTGGATAGTAAGACTTGGAACACTGAGACAGCGCCTCTCAAAACGCCTTCATTTTGCATCGATACAACTTGCCTCCATGAGAGCGCGAATAGTTGTATCTTGGATGGTCTCTTGAGATATGGGACTCTTTCAGCGGGCCGACTATCAAACTTGATCTTTCCCTTTTCGAATGACATTTATTGACTATTTGGTGCCTTTATCTGTCGATTTATTAGTAAAATCTGGAGTGCATTTCACTCCGTACCCTATGTTGCTCCCAAATACCCACAGAGATAGGAAAGCGAAGGGGAATCCATCCTTTTCTCGGAGTCAACTTCGCTTTCATGAAATGAATTTTACTGACATTTTAAAACATTTTCATTAAACCTATCCATGCTAGGCTGCACTAAATGCCCGGTAGTAGACTTGTGTTGGACCGAATTTTAATGGTAGTAATTCGAATCTGGCGTTGATTTCTCAACGAGCGTTTGCTGTAATTGGTTGGATATTGTAAACTTTAAAGAGTGAACAAAATCAAACCATACTGCGCGCAATTCATAAATCTAAAAATATTTTACGGATCAGAAAAGGCAGGAGAAAAAAACTGCATAGAACGTAAAAAAATGACTCCGTGGGGTATATTCAGAAAGATTAATGACCATGCAAAACTGAACTTCCACGCCGTACTACGGAAGAAAGCAGTAACGCCATTTCAGAGTGAGACTCGAGGCGCATGAGAGCGAGTGCTAACTACGGGACTTACTGTTCTCTTCCGTAAAACGGCAGTTCTGCCGTGGTTGGTGACCGGAAAACAAACAGAGAACTGAACGAACTAATCGGAGCAATTGATTCGATATTCTAATAACGCTAACTTTTGTTCATTTTGTTTCGAAAAATTTCAATAGGGAGCCCGGATCGGATCGGGGTCCCACAAAGAAACGGAAACTTTCCGAAACAAAGTTTCGAACGCAAGATTGACGGTAAAAATTAAAAAAAAGAAAGGAGCAGCGAGGAATTGGAGGATGAGAAAATCAAATATTGAACTTATCTTTCCATGACGAGGGAAATTAAATACAACGGGAACTTTGGAACGGTAAACTTTGTTTAAGCCGGATTTATCACTCTAACCGTGCGCTCTGATAAAATTCGCCGAGCCCGCCCCCGCGCGGAGTGGCCGGGATAATTAATAGGAAAACTCGTTCGAGCATCAATGAGCTCATTGGGAAATCCACGGTCCCCGCCCGCGTTCCCACAAGAAACCACACCTAATTTCGAAGAATCCTCCTTTTGCAAAGAAAATTGTAAGGTGAAACGTGTTCTAGTAAGAACTCTAAAAGGTATAAGAGCTCGTTTTAGGTATTCAGCGAACATGAATACTAGTGAGAAGCTCTGGTATGTACGAATTAGAAGAGCGCTTCGAGGTCAACAAGGTTTGAACTAGAGTCCCTTTATACTGAGAGTCAAGACAATGTGAATCCATTTCTGATTAGTTCTCGTATTTTAGGCCTTCACAGTGTTACAAACGGGAATAAAGATTACATTTTCGCCGCTTGCGAAGATTATAATCTGGAATGGACCAGGGAATTACGGGTTCGGCAAGGAACAAACGGAATGAGAGAAGGAACGGAGAAAGGAGTTTGAGAATGGGCCGATCAAAGATTACGAAAAACGTTTAATTTCTGTAATCTTTATATTCCTGTTTGTGACTCCATGAGGGGGTGTTGTCTTGCCTCTTAGTATAAAGGGACTCTAGTAAGAACTCTAAAAGGTATAGGAGCTCGTTTTAGATGTTCAGCAAACATGAATACTAGTGAGAAGCTCTGGTATGTACGAATTAAAAGAGCGCTTCGAGGTCAACAAGGTTTAAACGTAAAAATGCTGCCGCGCTGAGGAAAAACACCGTATGAACATTCAAGAGTTGTCAAATTTCTCCGGATAAAACATGTATTTTTTTTAGGAAAGTTATGCTTATTTGTCCTTGAAATTTTCAGACATTTTACATTAAATTGCGGGCAAAATTGTCTAAAAGATTCAAAGAAAAATGTTAACAGTTTTCCCGGTGAATTCGTTATTTATTGAAGAAGATATGGCAACGTCTGAAGGCTCACACGGCGTTCTTCTTTAGCACAGCAGAATGGGTCTGGTGCTCGCAGGGAATACGACGAGAGATGGGAAATCGAATTTATTTCAAAATTCAAAAAAATTCATTTTGCTGAAAAAATAAATTTCATTTTCCATGAAAGTTTGACGGTCTTTCAGGGGCTGCGTGAGCAACCCGAAACAAATGTACGATAATTCAGTAAAACATTTTGATATATGACTCATGATAATTTTTTTCTCTTTAATTTCAAAATGAACAATTTACCGTTTCAATACGTATCATAATATACCAAGTCCATGGCAAGTTTTAAATTTAAGTTCTCACTCAGGTGGACTCACTCAGTGGACTATTCATAGGTAAACTTGCAGGAGGATATCTTTCAAGACATTATGATTGTCTGAAATATTTGCGAGAAGTACAACTTTTGGAGCGGACTTTGGACACATTCAAATGATAGACGCCTATCTGTCCTGGGTGTTTTATAAAACCACTCCTTAAAAATATAGCTTCTTTCTCGGATCATGGTGAGTAGAATTCTATAAAATTGATAGTTCTCTGATTAAAAAAACAAAAATCCGTCAATTACAGGCCTCCTTTGTCCATGTCTACTGCAACTACCCGCTTCTACCGATAGGATTGACCTATATTCTCTCTTTGTCTTTTTGGTCTATCACTTCGACTATCAATTTCGATAATCAGCCCGATGATGTCTCGAGATTTCCCAGTTAACTGGGGCCCTACACATCGTCACCTCCTGACCAAAGTATCACAAACGCCATGCAACGTTTCAAAATTTCCGCTGCCATTTTATTTCTTAGCGGAGAAATTGTTGAATGAAACCATCCGAAAATTTCACTAAATTTCCTTTGCGCTATCGATAAAATTCAGTAAAACTTTCAAACAGATTCAACCAAAAATTTCTCTGCAAAAAAATAAAATGGCGGCGGAAATTTGGAAACGTCGCATGGCGCTTGTGATACTATGGCCGAAAGGTGACGATATGTTAAAAATCATCCGAATTCGGCAACTTCTTTCACATAAATGTGGCCATTTTAGAAGTTAACCTCTATCTATCATGTCTGCGCGACAATCTTTTTCTCGGGGCGGCAACGGACGGAGTGGCGATCGGGACCGGACGCCGGAAAAGAGAGCTCCGCGTGACGTCGTGACGTTTCCGCGTCGGCGACGACGTAATTTGCGAAACTGCTCGTCGATGAAATTGGATCGGGTCCACGCGCGGAGCGGGGGGGTGGAGGTAGGGGTGGCGGAGGGGGTGGACGGAGCCGAAGGGGTTGAATGCCGGACTCACAGCGAGCTAAGATGAAAGCGGACGTCGCGTCCGGCGTCGGGGCGCTCCCTCCGAGCTCGGCGGGGATTTTTCACCGTCGCGACGCCATTGACAATCACCTTTGTTTCGCACTCTCGCCGCGCCGCACGGTGGATCGACTTAATTGGAGAGGTCGGACACAATTTGGAAACTTTAAACGCTGATAACGCAAAACTTTGAGGTTTACAAAGTGGTTTCTAGAGGACTTTTCTTCAAGAAACACTCCTTAAAACTTAAAATTCGACGAAACTAACATCAAAATTTGCAGTGTTAGACAAATACGTCATGTTCGACCTCTCTGATTGACTCGATCCACTGTGCGCCGTGACGCGAAGGGCTGCGCCGTTCAATCGTCCGTGCGTCCCGACTCAACGCCGCGAGAGACTGATTGGGTGACTACGTCATTTTTGCGATATTCGACCGGTGGCGTGGCGTGCTTTGCGACCAAACGATTGTTCTGCCATTCAAACCAATGCGAAAGGATCGATGAACAGGGTGTTCCCAACGAACAGCGTAATAATCGATTGTTTCTCATAGCTCCTGATGGAGAGATATCGATAATCGATCGTTCACGCCTCGCCACTGCATTCGACATACCAATTCGCGATGTTTCAAACAAAATCAAAAGAACATAAAAAAGGGGTTGGAAAAAATACCTGGCGCTATTTTTCGACGGCTCTCTAGTCATGTAATAAACGGATTATCTGCTGGATGCGCTAATATGATAATGAACTGTGTGAATATGGTAAAACTTAATACTAAGGAGACCTTTCGGGACACACTTAAAAATAAGGAGGCCATGGATTATGATTTCATATGCTTTAGGTGTTTAGATATTTATTCTATTTTCATTTCTCTTTTTAAAAACAGTACTGCTCTTTTGACTTCTCTCCAAGATAATGATAGTCTGTAACCACGAAACAAACAGCGATCAATGAAGATTGACTTGGAGCAAAAATCTAAGACCAAAGCCAACTGTTCCAGCTGTTGGACCTATTCCACGGCCCACCCCATTCCCATGCAGCAGAAGCAGCCTCTCTCTGTCTTGCAGCAGCCTCTCTCTGTCTTGCCGCAGCCTCCCTTTGTCTCGCCGCAGCCGCTCTCTGTTTTGCCGCAGATGCAAGTGCAATCTCTCTCTGTCTCGCCGCAGCTGCAAGTGCAATCTCTCTCTGTCTCGCCGCCTGCTCTCTCTGTCTTGCCGCAGCCGCTTGCGCAGCCTCTCTCTGCTTCTCCGCAGCCTCAAGCGCAGCCTTCGTTTCTTCCTCCTTTTCCTTGACCTTCTCTTTGAACTCCGCCTCCTCGTCCTTCGTCATAGCGCGTCCCACCTTCAAGTTCGTGAACCATAGAGACCCGTCCGGCATGACCTGGTACGTGCTCTCCTGGCTGAGGGTCTTCACGTCCTGACAGACCTTCTTCCCGTTTACCGTCACCTCCTTGCCGTTGATCACCGAAATTTTCAGAGTTTCTGCACCAATAGCTATGGCACGGACTCCACTACCGTCGACGTCCAGGTACTGGCCGGACCAGTTGACCGTTCCCCATACCTGGAAATCATCATTGGGTGTCACGGAGCCGCTGTCATTGACAATATTGCTATTAACGACGGACCAGGTGCTTGACGGGGCACGTCGTCGCCTACGGGGCGATTTGGAGAAGGAGTCCGTGCGGGTGGGTTGGCGGTTGACCTTGGTTTCGCTGACGTTGAAGTCTCCGACGATGACGGAGCCGTTGTGATTGCCGTTGAAGGTTCCGGAGTTGTTGACGACTGCAGAACCGCGCTTCCCGGGAGAGGCCCGGCCGTTACGGCTCGGGGAACCGGTGAGAATGACCGAGCCGTTACCGTCGCCGTTGAACTCGGCGTTGTTGTTGACGACGAGGCCGTCGAGATTGAGGGACCCGGGGGAGGACCGTCCGTTGCGGGTCGGGGAACCGGAGAAGAAGATTGATCCGTTGCCATCGCCGTTGACCACGCCGTCGTTGTTGACTGTGAGGTCGTCGAGGGAATGCAGGGCGTCGACCAGGAAGCCCCAGTCGCCCCAATCGCGCGTGTGGAGGGCCTGGTCGGTTTCCCCGCCGGGGGTGGTGCCCGTTGTTGACGGGTTCACGGCCAGGGAGATGGACCTGGCATCGTCGTCATTCCGGCTGCCGGTCTCGGACGCAGAAATTGCGACCGCCTGGAAACCATGAGAATAACGTAGGTACATTAAAACTGAAGCAGAGGGGAATTTAGTGCTTAGTGCCGGCAAAAGCCGATATCATTCTGATGGAAGAGGGATGTTCATTTTCTTTTCTCGGATGACAAGTGTTTTTTCCCCTAGAACAATTCTCTGACTTTTCGAGGTTTTTTGGGGACATGAGAACTTATAAAATTATTTTAAGTTGGAAGTTTCTAAAAATTGATCAAGTGCAATTTTGTCGGTAGAGGGGAAAAAAATTCAACATACCGCAGTAGAATTTCCTGTCTTTCCAGGATTGGGCAAAGCTCTCTGACGTTTCAAGGACAAGTCACCTTTGCTCCATCAATATTGAAACGACTACCGGCTAAAAAATCAAAAGGTTCTCGATTTTCATTTATGAAAATTGAAAATTTCTGTTCTTACGATAATTTTTTAGGCATTTTTACAGACTGCAGAACTACAGAACTGCAGAAATAAATCTCAAATTTTCCAATTTTTTGCCATCAAAATAATAACGATCACCTTGTTAAAATATTTTAACATCTGGGTCATTCCACGCCTAGGTAGTCCGGGGGGTATTTTTTTTCCCCTCCAAATGACCCAACGATATTTATTTTTGGACTCCTTAATACTCCTAGTTTTTGGAAATATATGTGGTTTACCTCCGTTTTGTTTTTTTTCTCGCAATTTTTACGTGTTTTGTAACCCCGTTGCTTAGCTTTATCCTACTGTAAAAAGAGTGACAGTTTGGTAGCAATGTTTTCTGGTGTTCCCACCAAAACCAAGTTTCAGGTTATGCTGGGAGTTGTCAAGAAACTGATTCAATGTGCTCCTGCAAAGTTTCAATTTTTAAAAGTAATTACTGTATATTATATGTAACTTTTAAAACTTAGTGTACCGACTGTCACACCCGTTACGCAAAACATGGGTTTTTTAATGTAACTATTTTAATTCATGTCATTTTGAGATGCCAATTTTTTCCGTACGTCTTCAAGTCAAGTACAGCTTTGGAGTATTTTTTCCGAATTTTTATCTCAACAGTTGATGGGCAAAAATGCGTAACGGGTGTGACACGTTACGGGTGTGACCAATGAGGAGAGGCTTCAATTATGCTGATGTTGCCTCACTTCTCACCATTTTTTCTACGGTTATCACAAGAAATACACTCATATGCATAATTAGAGGTTATATATACATCTAATAAGAGAGAGATAGCCAACTTTTTTGCCATATTTCAGTATTTAAAGTGAATACACCTTATCTCAAAAGGACTTCAAATAGAACTCGTTGAACTCTCTCCGATTTGATTGAAATATTTTCACTTTACTATAGGCCCAGACCTACCGTGCCAGGGTTTTTTTTTTGGTTAATTTGGGCCATGCGAGGTGCCGATGCCGATGGTGGGACCGCGGGGACGAAAGGGGAATCCTGGGTTACCCGAAGAAAAGCCCTGGGACGGTAAGTCTGGGCCACCCTGTAGAATATTGTAGTTTTGGCATGTTCTACATTAAAATGGTCATATTGCAGATTGATTTACTGCTCAGGATTGCCTACAATAAGAGTATGAGAAGAAAAGTAAGTTTTAAGTCTCTCAAAAATGATGGACCTCAGAGAGACAATTTGTCACACCCGTTACGTCACACCCGTGACGCAAACGGTAGGTCTGGGCCACCTTGTAGAAAAATGTAGTTTTGGCATGTTCTACATTAAAATGCGTCAAACTGTTGATTGATTTACTGATTAGGATTGCCTACAATAAGAGTATGAGAAGAAAAGCAAGTTTTTTAACTTTTAAACTCTATCAAAAATGATGGATCTCAGAGAGACAATCTGTCACACCCGTTACGTCACACCCGTTACGCAAACTTTCCCATTTTTCAAGGAAAGAAAAACAGATAATCGAAAACGGATCATCGGCAGTTGAAGCAAAAACCCTTGGCTTCATCATATAATTTAATCAGATTTTTACATTCATAAAATTCGCTGAGTTTCCACTTTACACTCACTGAGGAAAAACTCACTTCCAAAATCAGTCACACCCGTTACGCATGCCTTTTAATTTTTTCTGAGGAATGGAACAAAGTAAAAACAATTTCTGATAAACCGAAATGATCTATGAAAAAAGTTCTTTCTGCTGCTGCAGATCATTTTTTAATTAAACCCCAAGAAAGAGTTCAAATTCTTGTTTAAAGTTAAATTGTTGTCACACCCGTTACAATGGAATGACCCATCTACGATAGATTTAAGATAACGATTTTGATATCGAGGATAAATATTTCAAAATCCACGAGTAATTCAGTTCAGAAATTCCTCGAGTTGTTTAAACATCGACCTAGCTGTGTTCACTTTTTTTACGTAAATCAAAACCTCACATTCCCAAAACCTCCGTTACTAAACACGTGAAAGAATTTTGAATTGGGATCAAAACGAACGTTCCGTGATACATTCCGCACCGAAATTGTTTTCACGGCGGCCGAAGTACTTGTTGAAGGGGACAAGAAACCTAGTATTCTATACGCACAAAAGACAATTGTTGTGCAGGAAATATTTCTTTACGCGTCAATTAAAAAGGGATTTTCCTATTTGTGGTCGTGAAAACTCGAAAAAATCTGAGGGGCTAAACATTTTAAGCACTCCTTGTTTGTCAGCATTATTATCAAAAAATATTGAAATCTAACATCGCCATATATACGATTTGAGGGCGTGACATGATAAATTTCATCCTCGTCCTCACGGACAAAATATTACAAAGATCCTACACTGTAGATTTAAGGTTTTATCTCATCAATTTTCAATTCTGAAGCTAACCAGCCCTTAAAAGAATAAAACAAAAATTAACAGGATTACAAATTCAGCGAAAAATACCGAAACACCCGAATTAAAATCCTTCTATATGTATATTACAGTTCAGTGTTTTCTTACGAAAGGTATGGTGAACAAATATCGATGAAATTTAAAAAAAAAAATCACGTACCAAAAAAACACAACACAATAAAGACACACGCCGCGTAAGCAGCGACATCTTTCTAACACGAGTTGCACACAGATCGACAGAAAAGAGGCGAGTACGCCTGTATATATACAGCTCATGAGATGAACCTTTTATCCCCTTTTCCCTCTTTTTCTCCGTCTCTCTTCGGATTTTTTACTTTTATCGATGAAGTTATGATTGATGTACTCATGTACTGGAAATTCGAGGAACAGGCTTCATTTGCCAACGCATCGCAGAAAAACCACATGGAGGCTTTTAACCTATTGATCTCGCCCATAAGCAGGAAAACGGTTAAAACTAGATTGCACCGGTTAAGAAGTGATCTGTCTGCATCAAAAGTTTTGAAAAACATCGTAAGTCCGTTCTATAGTGCGTGGGGAGTTACGTCGTTTTTAATCAACCCTCTGAAAGCAGACTGATTACTTTTTTGCGTGATGACGCCCGATAGTTTTGCCTTTTTCACAAAAACGCATCAACGAAATTAGTTAACCATAAGATATTTCAAGTTGCCAAATTGATCTTTTACGGATGGACTTCATACCTTCATGCATACATTCATCAATACCTCATGCATGAACCGTTTTTCTAATTCATGCGGCACCAAAGGAATCTCGTGTTAGTCAGTTACGTGGTCTATGCGTTGGAGCAACAAGGCTTGCGCAAATCGTCTCCCCCTCATTTTACAAAGGTTAAAAAATAAAAGTCACGCGAGAGGCCGATCCTGACAGATAAATTGCAAAACTTTCCATTTCAAATGGGTACACTTAAAATGAAAAATCTGAAAGCTGTATCCATCAACTCGATGTAGCACTTCATTACGATATCCTTTTCAAATTTTGAATGATTTTCTTCATATTGTTTGTTGTACAGTGATTTATTTTTTTTTATTTATATTTTTTTCTTTCTTTTTTTAAAAATAGAATACTGGAGAAAAATGAGCAATTATTAGTCTGAATAATGTATAATAGGTGTGTTCCAAAACGAAAGAAGGAGAAAAAAAAAGTTTATTCAATCATTTCGGAAATCGCAGTTAATTAACTTTGAAAAAGAATAAGTCCTACTTTTCCCCGTCCTTTTGCCTGATCGAGATGACGTAAATTCCCTTGTACTGTCGTTCAAAGATCCACATTCAATCAAGAATTACAGAAACTTCAGTGGAACTTTAACGAATCCCGATTCAGAGATCCCACAGAATTTACAGAAAGAAATTCCCCGACACTTCCTCGATTTTCCTAGCATATCTTGGTGGGATTCCCTGACAATGGAGATGTTGCATGTGTGAGGAATTTGCGATTTGACTATTGATTCTCATGTAAAAGTTCGCGAGAAACACGATAGTGCCACTAGTTTTCGCTGAAATCAACTCCTAAGCTCATGAAAAGCTCTCAAAGTTGAGGCAAAATGGAGGTGATATCCCACGTTATCCTGACAGTCCACCTCTACATCAAGACGAACTCTCCATGCAAAGATAGGGTGCAAATACATTGACAGGGCTACGGCTACCACTTTATTTGGGGAATCTAAAACTAAAAAAATGGCAATCCTGTTAATGTATTTGCTCCGTATCTTTGCATGGAGAGTTTATGTTTCTCGCGAACTTTTACGTAAGAATCGATGGTCAAATTGCAAATTCCTCACACATGCAACATCTCCATTGAAGATAAGCCGGATGGTAGGTAAGACATAATTAGCAACAGTTTTCAGGCAAAATTTATTATTAACGACTAACCCGTTCCAGACAGCAAATGAAGGTGGCATGACAATTTTTCGCTGACATTTTCGTCATTCTCCCTGACATTTCCAGGTTTTCCCTGACTTTTGAAATTCCCTGATATTTCCCGGTATGCCCTCATCCTCCGTTTTTGCAGGAACTTGATTGCTTTTGGAAAATTCGGCTCAATCATCATCATCGATTACGCTCCATCCCCTCCTGGCGGATACTCTACGATCCATAGCATCTTGCCTCCTCCGCACAGCAGCATCTATCCTCCTGCCCATTTTCTCCAGAGGTTTCCCAACATTATCCTCCATTTCTCTTTCAAACATATCCCAGAAGTCATCGTGCGCGTTCCAGTCATTGGTACCGCGCCTCTGGAGCCTCTTTCGCTCACGTGTCGCCTCCCTCACCCTCCTGGCCGCCTCCACCGCCCTCCTGCCCTCCTCCTTCGCTTGCCTGACCTCCTCCTTCGCTTCCTGCTTCTCCGCCTCGAGTTTCTTCACCTTGGTCTCGAAGGCATTCTTCTCCTTCGCGGTCATCTCCCGGCCAAGGTATAAATTCGTGTGCCAGGCGGAACCGTACTTCCAGAACTGGTGGCGCGCCTCATCGCCCAGCCTTCTGATGTCACCGCAGACACACTCTCCGTTGACGTAGACCGCCCAATCGTGGACCTGGATGTTGAGGTTCCGCGGGCTCACTACCGTGAAGTAAAGGCCGTCCTCGTCGTAGGTCATGTACTGCCCGGTGTAGTCGATTGTATTGCTATACAGCGAACTCGAAGAGCCGTTTGGCTGGAAGGAGTACACTCGACCGTTGCCTTTGCCTGCGTTATTTTCAAATTGCGTATAAGCAAGAGGTATACATACACTGGAATAAAAAACACATTGGATCTAGCCATCTAGCGTCCCTTTATAATGAGAGTCAAGACAACACCCCTCATGGAGTCACAAACGGGAATAAAGATTACAGAAATTGAACGTTTTTCGTAATCTTTGATCGGCCCATTCTCAAACTCCTTTCTCCGTTCCTTCGCTCATTCCGTTTGTTCCTTGCCGAACCCGTAATTCCCTGGTCCATTCCAGATTATAATCTTTGCAATCGGTGAAAATGTAATCTTTATTCCCGTTTGTGATACTGCGAAGGCCTAAAATACGGGAACCAATCAGAAATGGATTCACATTGTCTTGACTCTCAGTATAGAGGGACTCTAATTGGATCTAGAGTCCAGACTCTTAAAAACATCGACAAGAAAAAATACTCCTGATTCAATCGGATTTTTGCTTAGATCAAGAACCAAGCCTCTTAATTTGAGCGGATTTCCTTTTGATTTCAGCAAAAATCTGATTGAATCAAGAGTATTTTTTCTTGTCAATGTTTTCAAGAGTCTCCCAAGTTTCCAAGATTCCAGGACCGATATCGAACTAAGATGACCAAGAGTCTTTATAAATGAGCGTTCTTTCGCAAAAAAGAGTAAATCTATGCAAAAATTGAGTCAAATACTTGCTTCACTAACTACGGGTTATACTTGCTTGACTACGGGTCGTGACAATTGTAATAATGAATCATTCTGGATAATTTGAATTCATAGGTTAGCTGCCCTTTTGGTAGGGCCCTACAAGCTTCATGACCTAACCTTAAAATTAGCGACGTGTCCGTACTCCGTCATAAGGGTACTCTAAAGATAGAAGAATATACTAGCTCCATGACCTAACCTCAAATTTTTTTTTTTTTTTTTTTTTTTTTTTTTTTTTTTTTTTTTTTTTTNTTTTTTTTTTTTTTTTTTTTTTTTTTTTTTTTTTTTTTTTTTTTTTTTTTAATTGAGAGTTTAGTGGCTTCCATTCCTTTAGGAATCTATAGCCATCTATAGGCACTATTTATTGTCCGAAGACATCAGGGAGTTTGGTAGACATCCATGCTCGGGCTTACAAATTTTCACGGATTAAGGCCGAGCGAATTCTGCTTACAGATCCACTCGTCAGTTCCATGAAAATTTGTCGCCACCACCGGGATTCGAACCCGGGACCTATTGACCTAGAGTCAGACGCGCTAACCACTAGGCCAACCTGGCCGGCAACCTCAAAATTAGAGACGTGCCCAGAGACAAGACGTGTCCGTTCTCCGTCATAGGGGTACACTAAAGATAGAAGAATATACTAGCTCCATGACCTAACCTCAAAATTAGCGACGTGTCCGTACTCCGTCATAAGGGTACTCTAGATATAGAGTCTCAAGAATATACTATTTTTATAATTACCCTTAGCTGACTTCCAGTTGTTATTGATCCTAACGTTTCGTCCCACATTCGAGTTAGACCTAGCCAACCCATTAGACGACCTGGAGCCCTGTCCCACATTCGAGTTAGACCTGGCCAATCCGTTGGATGACCTGGAGCCCTTGGAGGGGCTCTTCTGAAGCCTCGGGGGGGTCCTTTTCGGGGACGACGCATCAAAATCGCCTTCGAAGATGGAGCCGTTGTAGTCTCCGCTCATTTTGCCGGTGTTGTTGACTTGGACATTCCTCATCGGCGAGGTTCGGCGTCTGTTGCCGCTGAGGAAGACCGACCCGTTCCCGTTGCCCTCCATGATACCGGAGTTGTTGATCGAAACGTTGCCGTCGGCCAGGCTGGCTAGGCTGCCGAAGAGATTGTCCAAGCCTCTTTTCTGGAGGTTCGCGTCGATATTTTCGTCATCCTGATCTGCGGCTTCCTTGGGAGGATCAGTTTCAAAGAGGGCTATTTCGTTGATATTTGCGGTTCTGGCGGGACCGCTGATCGGAAGCGCTGAATTCGGGGACACCTGGAAAATTTGAGAACGTTTGAGGTCGAGATGGAGCATTTTTACCGTTTCCATTGCCCAAGAATAATATGGATTACATTTTTCAATAAGGAACCACTATAATGGCTCATTTTAGAAACGACATACATGCCATTGGTTTCCCGACATACACTGGAAAAAAACACATTGGATCTAGAGTCCAGACTCTTAAAAACATCGACAAGAAAAAGTACTCTTGATTCAATCAGAATCTAGCTTAAATCAAGAACCAAACCTCTCAATTTAAGCGGATTTCGTTTTGATTCTAGCAAAAATCCGATTGAATCAAGGGTATTTTTTCTTGTCAATGTTTTCATAAGTCTGGACTCTAGATCTAATTTGTTTTTTTCCACTGTAGAAAGGTGCTTTTAAAGAAGAACCAGAGATAGCGGTTCAATATTGTAAAATGTAATAATCCATATTATCTCTCGCGTTTGTGCCAGTAGCCGAAACCTACAATATCTCTGACGCCAATATGAGCGAAAATTTTAACAGTATGGTTAACGTTTTAAAATCGTCATTTCTCAGACGAAGGAACGAAACTCCATTCGAAATTGCTGCAATTGACTCGCTCAGTAATTTGTTTTATAAATATAAAAATATAAAGTACCATTTCGGTCCAAAATATTGCGAATTTTCATTTTTTTTTAACGAGCGAAAAATTGGTGAAATTATATAGGATAGAAATGCCTAGCAGTTACCTATTGAAAGTACACGCTGCGGGTTTTGCGACGTTGAAATGTAATTACAGCCTTTTGTTAGAGAGACAGCGAATTCTGACGCTCATAAATTGTAGCACAGTTGGAAATATTAGAGTAAATTGTCGCAAGGAAGCTATATTTCCTCCGGTGTGAAATATACTCGATTTAACTGTGATTTTACTCGGTGGATCACCGCGTGTCCCTTGAATGTATAAAACCAAAGATGAGCTTTGAATTTAATTGTAAAAATTTAATTGGGTTCAGTTCGTGGGACTCTGAGAAAGCGAGTGGGATAGCTGTGCAGTGCTAAAAGAGCTAGCTGTATCTACTGAGAAAGATTCCTCGGGATTAATCAGCTCCATTTGATCCTCCTTTTTCCTTAATTCCGTTTTGTCTAGCTTCAGAGTGTCTACTAAAACAGGCTGGTCAAAAATAAGTACTTTTACGGTACTTTTTCAGTACATTCTCGAGAAATTCAGTACCTCCTCCGACAGAAAAATTCCGTACTTTCTCAGTACCTCTATTTCACGAAATTAGAAAAATTTCAAAAATTTAAAATTGCGACAAAAGTGACAAAAAATGTATAAAAATCCGGACCTTTTTGCGGAATTTTCGCACTTTTCCAGTACTTCCGGACCGCCCTTAAAACATCAGTACTATTTCCGGACTTTCCGGAAATTCCGGTCTTGTAGACACCCTGAGCTTAAAAAAAATTGTTGTCGAAAGATTGTAAAATTTTCTAGCTACAATTTATAACTAGTAGATTTTGACAAAGCTTCATAATTTTTTCACTAACTCAAAGATTCACGGCCAGCTGGGAGAGCTCTTGATTCGTCGTTTCCTTGACAAAGAAACGTAACTCCATTCCAAGGTTGCGAAATTGACTCAAGAAATTCAATTTTTTATGAGAATGTACCTGCGCAGTTCTTGCTGAAAATTTGTCTGATTATTGCAAGAGATCAGAGGAAAAATCAGTGACATTTTCAGCCAAAACCGCCCAAGATTCTCGTGGTAAAAATGCAATTTGCGAGAGGTAATTTGAAATATTGAAATGTACACGGAAAAAACAAGACTAGTGTTGAGCACTACTGGCCGTTTAGTGGGGAGTAGTTGAGGGCTGGCGTCTAAGCGCTGTACAGCTCAACGCCGGAAGGCAGTACAGGTGGGCACTGAACATGAGTAGTGCTAATCAGATGCCGAGAGACGTAGTTGCGCTTAACAGGTGTAAATTCACCCTTGAGACGTCAGAGCCTCGATAGCCTGGTGGTAACGCGCTGGTCTTCCACCGGCGCGACCCGAGTTCGATCCCAGGTCGAGACATTTCATATTTTACGCTCGCTCCAAAGTCACTTTAGGGCTTGACACTACTTCTTCCTTAGTGACCCAGCCTCGAGCTGTTTAGTGCCCAGCACTCCTCTGACTTGCTGGCTCCATTTGATCTAACCCTCGTTAGTGCCCAGCACTAACATGTAGGTCCCAACCCTAAGCTCGTTTTTTCCGTGTACTTACACTGGAAAAAAAACACATTGGATCTAGAATCCAGACTCTTGAAAACAGTGACAAGAAAAAATACTCTTGATTCAATCGGATTTTTACTTGATCGAATCCGCTGAAAATAAGAGGCTTGGTTCTTGATTTAAGCTAGATTCTGATTGAATCAAGAGTACTTTTTCTTGTCGATGTTTTTAGGAGTCTGGACTCTAGATCTAATGTGTTTTTTTTCCAGTGTAGTTATGATCTTTCATGTGGGAAACGACGAACCGTGTATGGGAAACTCCTCACGACGCGACGAGTAGCTGGAGATAAACCTCGACAGAATTTTATTTAGACGTTCGGAACTTCTCCAGATGTTCTGTCCGGTTCTGTTTCATCAATCATCGACACCAGATTCATCCGTCACGGTAACCGAGTTTCGACACTCAAATACAGTGCACACCGTGAGGGCCGGGTGTGAAGACATTTTCCGAACCTCCAAATAAAATTCACTTCACGAGGTGTTCCTTAAAATAGGGAAAATGGGTTCTGGGTCAAATCGATAAATTCCACGTTTCCTACGTTTCAGTCACTACTAGGATTATTCGGAAACATTCAAAACATTGGCCTCTGGATCATAATTATGGAATTTTCGAGATATAATTGGATTACATTTTGCAATAAGGAACCACTTTCTCTGGTTCTTCCATAAAAGCACCTTTTTGCATAGAAAACCAATGGCATACATGGTGTTTCTAAAATGAGTCGAAAATAGTGGTTCCTTACTGCAAAATGTAATCCAATTGTCTTTCGAAAGTATAAAATGAAATCAAAAGTTCTAAGTTCATTTTACCACCGATACTGGTACTTCTAAATTTATATGTATAGTGTCGCAGGCCAATAGTGAAATCAGGCATTTTGTCAAATGCCTAGGCAGATAGTCCAATTTTGACGGTCTACACAATTTTGTGAATTTATGGCGAAGAGCTGACGATTTTTCGCTATTTTTGGAAAAATAACTTATCAAACCTACGAACTCTTGTTGTCCCTTCCTCTTCAATTGCTTCTCATATTTTTAAATGTTGAAATTCCAAGAACTCTGTATTTTACGACATGCTGAAAATTTCAAGATCAGTGTCTCTTCAGGATCTAAAAATTGTTTAAAATACTATTGTATGTGCACATTTTTACTGAGAATTTTTTCTTGCAGGAGCAATGAATTATTTTGTCTGAAATTAGGAAAATAATCAGAATTTCAATCTAAGTTGGAATATTTTACTATTTGCCTGCGACATATAGAAGTTAAAAACACGGAAAAAACGAGCTTAGGGTTGGGACCTACATGTTAGTGCTGGGCACTAACGAGGGTTAGATCAAATGGAGCCAGCAAGTCAGAGTAGTGCTGGGCACTAAACAGCTCGAGGCTGGGTCACTAAGGAAGAAGTAGTGTCAAGCCCTAAAGTGACTTTGGAGCGAGCGTAAAATATGAAATGCCTCGGCCTGGGATCGAACTCGGGTCGCGCCGGTGGAAGACCAGCGCGTTACCACCAGCCTATCGAGGCTCGGACGTCTCAAGGGTGAATTTACACCTGTTAAGCGCAACTACGTCTCTCGGCATCTGATTAGCACTACTCATGTTCAGTGCCCACCTGTACTGCCTTCCGGCGTTGAGCTGTACAGCGCTTAGACGCCAGCCCTCAACTACTCCCCACTAAACGGCCAGTAGTGCTCAACACTAGTCTTGTTTTTTCCGTGAACGGTGCTTTCGAATTTACTTTGACGAAACTTGCATGACGATTTCCTTCTTACACGCAAACAAATATCTTCATGCTGAACTTAGCGATTAACCTATCAACCTTCGTTTTCTTAAAAGAGTACTCAATATGATAAAGTTCACAATAAGTATAGAAGCGGTGGCAATACAAGAAATTAAACACTGAAAAAACGAGATTAGGGCTGGGCCCTAGAATTGCTTCACCTCCACCGCCACAGGGGCAGGCCCTGCGGGGGTGAGGCCCAGCCCTACCTGGACAGGGTGCAGCTCTTACCAGATAGGGATGAACCCTGAAGTAGGTAGATTTGGGCTCTATGCGCGCCGGGCCTGCCCCTATGGCGGTGGAGGTGAAGCAAGTTTACCTACCCGGTTAGGGCTGGGACCTTCGGTGCAGGTACCAGCCCTAAACTCGTTTTTTCCGTGAACTTTGAGGCTCGATCGCCATATTGATTTTTGACAGGTTACAATTCTTCCTCTGAAGCCAAGCTCAAGGGAGATAGTAAAGATGGCGTGCCTGATTATTAGTGTATTTTCCGAAGAAAATACACTATTAAAATATGTACTAGCAGGTATTCAAGTTACACATCCTATCTGCATCAAAAAATACAAGTAAGAGTGTGTATTTAATGCACTTAATTAAAAAGCTCATTCCTTCGGCACGATTGTGGGTTTTAAATGATTCTTTAAAAAACGGACGAGAAAAAAATAATACTAAACTCTTAGAGATGAAGTATTCTTATTTCTAGAGGAATGTCTTAAATAAACGGAACCATCCAGACTTTATTCGTCGATACATCTATTTCAGCTTATCGTTCGAGTACTACACCCCCTGTAAAACTTTCAATGATTTTCTCACAGTGTTGAATGAGAGACTTGTAATCTGATTTAGGCTACGGCATAAAAAATGGACTGAAAATATTGCTCATCATCTCAAGACTCTTAAATATCAAGAAATCTTATTTTCAAAAAAAAAAAAAAATCGTAAACTGCGTACATCCATCATCTCATCCATATCTGCCGTTCATCTATTAGTGCTCTATTTATAGTTTTGAACGGGATAGGGAATTCGCGTTTTTAATTAAAGGAGAGCGTAAAAGTATGGATTTACACTACTAATCAGATCCTCTCGCAAAAAAAAAAAAATGTTAGGCCTCAAAAATTGGAAATTATAACGTGACGTTCCAGCGCCGCAAGGAAATTAAACGAAAACTCACCAAATTAACACACACGAAAAACGCGGCGAACACGGAGCAGACTTTCGCAATCATCATGCTCCTGACTCACTGCATTTACGGGCCTGTCAGCCTGCAACTTGAGAGAAGTCAATTTACCACGCGGTGAGCCTATGCGCTCACTACGAACGTAGGTGGGTTTTTTCTCAAGCAAAAAAACCGATAAAAAATTGTAGTTCATCACTTTAATCGTCTGGGACTTTTAGCGGTGAGCAATACAGATGTTGCATTCTTTTTCAGAGATTAAAAATAAAGAGTTTCCTGATGCGTATTTTCCACTTTGAGCGTATTTGAGAAGTTGAGAATACACGGGATTTCCGCATGGAATTTTCGCGGGTTAGAGCTTCAGACCAGTGGCGTGGCGTGTTTTGCGATGTATCGATTGATCTGCCATTGAAACCTGTGGTAGAGGATCGATGAACAGTGTGTTCGCAGCGAACACCTTGATAATCGATTCTTTACCACGGATTCAAATGGGGAAATATCGATGATCGATCATCACACCACGCCACTGCTTCAGACATCAAATAATAATTCGCCAATCTGAAATTTGATACAAAGGAGCCGCTGACTTTGCAACTCCGCATGATGTTTTTCAGTTATTTTTCCTGGTTTTCCAGTTCTGTCAACACCCTATGCTTTCAACTGAACCGCAGGGACGGTAAATAAGTACCGACAGTATTTTTTCCTGGCCTTTTCAAAAAAAGCTCTTGTGATATAAGCCTAAAATGTCAATCAATATGTCTATCAAACTCATTAATTCGTATGCTAGGAGAGATTTCTTGCCTTGGTGACTTTTCCCTCATAGTCCCCACTTTTTATTATTCTTTAATTCCTCTTAACCGCTACGCTGACAATGATTTTGATCTTTGATTTTTGATTTTGAATTAATGATTTCAGATTACAGATCAGCAAAAATAATACGTTCAATTCAAACACTGATTGTAAGTTCCCACGTCCAGTTTTAAAGGAGACATTCCCCTTCAAATATTACGGCGTATGACGTCATCCACCGTGATTGTGATTGTGCATATACCGTGCACGGAAAAAACAAGACTAGTGTTGAGCACTACTGGCCGTTTAGTGGGGAGTAGTTGAGGGCCGGCGTCTAAGCTCTGTACAGCTCAACACCGGAAGGCAGTACAGGTGGGCACTGAACATGAGTAGTGCTAATCAGATGCCGCGAGACGTAGTTGCGCTTAACAGGTGTAAATTCACCCATGATATATCGGAGTCACGATAGCCTGGTGGTAACGCGCTGGTCTTCCACCGGCGCAACCCGAGTTCGATCCCAGGCGGAGGCGTTTCATATTTTACGCTCGCTCCAAAGTCACTTTAGGGCTTGACACTACTTCTTCCTTAGTGACCCAGCCTCGAGCTGTTTAGTGCCCAGCACTACTCTGACTTGCTGGCTCCATTTGATCTAACCCTCGTTAGTGCCCAGCACTAACATGTAGGTCCCAACCCTAAGCTCGTTTTTTCCGTGTGGTTTCTTCCAACTTATTTCAATCGTATCGAAGTGGAACAACCAATTTAAATACATGACAAACTGATGAGTCAAAGGTAGGTTGTTTCAATCTTATCGAAGTGGAGCAACCAATTTAAATACATCACAAAATGATGAGCCAAAGGTAGAAAAAACCATGGTATACTATACCGATATGGATGACGTTATGCACGATAGTTTTCGGTGGGCGATATCTTTGTTGATATTGGACATAGGAACTAGGCGTTTGGACGGATCTGGATATTTTTAAGCTACCCAACAAACTTAAACCATCAAAATGCGAGCCTGCGACTAGCATTAGGGTACCTATACATGTAGCTAGAGTACGGACATGTCCAAATATGGGGCTCTTAGGACCCAAAAGAGCAGCCAGCCTTCAAACACGAAAAATGTCGCTGCCAATCTTCCGATTCCATATCAAACCAAGATGTCCATGAATGCTCATAAATGAGCGCTTTTCCGCAAAAATTAGTTAATTCATGCAAAAATTGAGCCACATACGTGCTTTACAAACAGGTCGTAAAAATTGTAATAATAAATCATTCTGGATGATTTGAATTCATAGGTTTGCTGCCCTTTTGGGCCCTAAAAGCTCCATGACCTAACCTCAAAATTACCGACCTGTCTATACTTTTCGTATAAACAGCACTCTAAAACTACCACAACTCATCAGTGCATTTACTGATTTCCGCCTGAAACAAAAATACGCGAGAGTCCGACAGCAGCTCGGAAATTTCGGAAAAGGAACCCCCTCCCAGTCCCCCGATCACATACGGAGCGAGAAACGGGATACATCGGGGGGTCGGGGTCGCGAAGTGGTGTCAGGACGTTATATTTGATTTCGGAGCCGAGCAAACGTCGCTGCGCGGAACGAGGGGGTTGAAGGGGGGCGGGAAGGGCGAAGGGTGGCGGGGAGGGGATCAATTGCGGTATCGGTGGAGGAGTGAATTTGTCTTCACAGTTTACTCGATCAATCATAGCATCTCGATAGTGTAACGGGCAGAGCTCTGATGACGACGCCAGGCGTCCAAATTACCAGTGGCGTGGCGTCCTCCGCGATACATCGATTGTGCCTCCATTCAAACCTATGAAAAAATATCGATTATCAGGGCGTTCGAAACGAACACCATAATAATCGACTCTTTACCGTGGCTTCGAATGGGATAATATCGATAATCGATGTTCACGCCTCGGCACTGCAAATTACCGTCCCTTCAGCCTTCACGCTCCCGTCTCCGTTTGATGAGACCCCGGTTCATTTCGTCGCTCCACCGACGTAACGGCGAGTCTTGGTTATTAATTGAGCCCCGTAAAGCATAGAGGTAAACGGAGAGCAGGGCTCACGTTGATACTGAGATACGCCCTTACGTTTAAGGAGCAACGATTGAGGTGCCGTGCCCACACGCGTCCGAGGTTAGGTGATCAACTGCATCCGTGCATATGCTCGGGCATCGGAATGGACCAATGGATTCGGTCATAAATTAGTCATCATGATGGACTGATTTAGTGACTCCGTCATTCGATATTCGGTACATTCGATGGTTCCACCTGGACCTAGTGGACTCATTCGATATCGATCGCTTTGCTGCGCTTTTTAGGGAGAGCACAATTCGTCTTCTCCCTCAGGAAAAAACGTTACTACATTCCGATGTTGCCAAATTTTCCCTCGATGATTTACTCCCACCAAAAATATAAATACAAAAGAAACAATTTTTTAGGTTTGGAACATTTTAAGGGAAGTTCGTATCTACCTAAAAGTATGTCAAAAGCATAGACTTTTTCCTTCCGTATTTCACATTTTTTAGTGGAGATCAAATCATTGCAATTCCTAGCGAGGTCCTATACTTCCTAGGTTACAATATTGAATTTTACTTGAGATTCGTTGATATTGTCATTTTATTGATACTATACTGATAATCTCCTTAAATCTACCTTTATCACAATGTAAACCACAAGAATCCTGGGCTTCCTAAAGGAAAAAGAGCTGTATAAGGAACGGATATGAATACCACCCTAAAATAGTCTGTACGCGAGAAATAGCATCTTACTTCTACAGCTGAGGCAATTTTCGGTAAAAGGGCGTATGAGACTTCCAAGGCTGCTAAGATTGTTTGACGTAGTTCTCTAGTCGTAAGTAACTTATCCAACACTTCAGCTATCCATTTTCCCCTAAATCTGCTCCAAGTTTTCCCTCACTAATATACGAAGCAATTCGACTGTAAATGAATCACTGAATACAAAAAGGGCACATGTCCAGAAAACCAAATTGTTCAGGAGACACAAAAAACTGTTTATTTCGGGGTAGATATTTTTTTAAACAAAACGACTTTCCAAAAAATATCTACCACGAAATAAACAGTTTTTTTGTGTCTCCTGAACAATTTGGTTTTCTGGATATGTGCCCTTTTTGTATTTAGTGATTCAAATGAAATCCATCTGCCGCAAACACGATGAAAACTTGCACGATCTCAGCAGCATCGAAAGCCTCATACGCCCTTTTCCCGAAAAACTCCTCAATTCCTGTCGGAAGTCGCGGACGGTTCGTTATGGCGAAGACGAAACTCGGGGTTGACAATAGCTCCTCGGCTGAATGCGAAACTCGGGCGAGAGTGTCGGATCCGCCGGAGCCGGAGTCGGAGCTGGGGCCAAAGAATCCCACGTCGTGTCGTGATTAGCATAACAAAGCCGTCTTCTAATTAACCGCAAGTTTCATTGCAGCCCCCGACCCCGGCGCCGGGGCCTATTGGTTATCGAGATTCCGCTCTCATCCCGGGTCCCGGGGAGCTGTATATTACGAGACGGGGAATCGCGATGGGGTTTGAATCTTGAGTTCGGGACTTCATGAAGGCTTTGACAGGTCGTCGGTCGTCTCCGCGAATAAGATACCTGGGATTATCTTGGCTGGAGTCGGCTTGTCGGGACCGAATTTGATATCAATAAATAGGAATGAGCAATAGGGGTCGGGTCATACCTTCACGGAGAGTTTCAAGGCACACAAGTGTCATTGGCATAGGATTTCTACCGTGCATTACGTCAGATTAGTCTTCAGGAGGCTAATATGAAAAGGGTTATGGAAGAGTAGAAGAAAGGAGCAGTAGTAGTAGTAGTAGTAGTAGTAGTAGTGGTAGTAGGAGTAGTGGTAGTAGTAGCAGTATTAGTAGTAGTAGTGGTAGTGGTAGTAATAGTAACAGTATTAATAGTAGTAGTAGTGGTAGTAGTAGTAGTAGTAGTAGTAGTAGTAGTAGTAGTAGTAGTAGTAGTAGTAGTAGTAGTAGTAGTAGTAGTAGTAGTAGTAGTAGTAGTAGTAGTAGCAGTAGTAGTAGCAGTAGTAGTAGCAGTAGTAGTAGCAGTAGTAGTCGCAGTAGTAGTCGTAGTAGTAGTCGTAGTAGTAGTGGTGGTGTAGTAGTAGTAGCAGTAGTAGTCGTAGAAATAGTAGTCGTAGCGGTAGTAGTAGTAGTAGTAGTAGTAGTAGTAGTGGTGGTAGGAGTAGTAGGAGTAGTTTTAGTAGTAGTAGTAGTAATACTACTAAGCTGTGCCTAGCAACTAGGGTCACAAAGAACTCTGTACTTAAGTTGAA